CTGTGTTCGTAGCACTGTTTTGTAGAAGTCAAAATTCTTTATTTGGATTTATTTTTGCAAAAGGTAATTTGCTGGGACCCAGTGGCGCCAGGAATCGAACCTGCAACCTTCTGTCTGAGAGACAAGCGCGTTACCTACTCCTCTAACTGTTCCCACCCACCCTCCGCAGGTAGACTTTCTTCTTATAGTAACCAAAGGAAATTTTTAAAAGGTCTTTGGGAATTACTTGCTTTTATCCAAGTACGCGAGCAAGAAAGTGAACCCCAACCCGTAGGTACCAATGAACATGAAAATACTACAACGCATTGAATAATTTCGGTATTTCTTTACTATTAAGACCAAAACAAAATTCCATTCCATATATGCATGTATATTTAACCACCTTAAAACTTCAGTTTGTGCGACTACATTTGTGATTAAGTTTTGAATGTTTGAATAAAATGATATAAACAAAGTCATTGAGATCTTCATTAGAATTCACTAAAAATGTAACAAATTCAATCTATTTGATTTGACAAATAAAACTATCAACTAAACTTCTTATGATTGATCTTATGTTTGATATTAAAGAAAATATTTCAGAAAAGACTTTTTCCTTTAAAAAACAACGCCGGATCTGGTATCCATCCCACCTTTAACCTCAGAAAAATCGAAAAGGAAACCCACTCTGGACTAACATTATCTAGTACACAAAATGCTACAAATTGCCTAGAATTTCACAATTTGACTACATTTGAATGTTCCGGATCCGACGTTGTTTTTCCTCTGTTTCTAACCATGCAGTATTATAAGAATCATTTCAATAACTAAATGCCTACAATCATGAGCAATTCTACGACTCTCGTGACAAATGTTTTGCTGTTAACGGAACATGAATTAACCTCACATAGCACATGTAGAGATTAACCTTTTCACACCTGCTGATTGATCTACTAAAAATATGAGAATTTTTTAAGTTGGGCAGATTTTGAAAAATAGTATCAATGGTCCCTTCAAATTTACACAGAATCTGATATATATAATTAATTTTTTAAAGAAAGCATCATCATCCCCGAGGCCATTTACATTTATACGAAATTCGCAGTGTACATGCTTGTAGCTTGTAGCCTAGACATCAGAAAATTGGATCATCAACAAGAACAAGCTTATGAAATCAAGTATTCCAATCTCTTATCTGAATATTTAAAGCAAAGACAACGTTAAAGGCACATAGTGAGCGCTGGATCCGTATGTAGCTAATATTTTATTTTTCTAGAAATTTTTACAATAAATCACCAAGGTATACGGTATCCAGAACAGTTCACAACAATACGATTCAGAGAATCATTAATTTTTTTTTGAAATTTTAACAACAAATCACATAAAGGCAGGGAATACGGTATCTAAAACAGTTCACAGCATTACGATCCGTATACTCTCTTCTAGCTCCAAAAAAGCCCCTTTCGTAATGAAAATAGAAGCTGGTCAATTTCACTCACGGCGGCAAAATTGAAATTTACAACAAGAAAACGCGTTTCTATCAATTGTAAACGGCATTGAGACGTAATGGAGGGCGGCACATAACAACTAGACCTTTTTTTTTTAACTTTTATACATCGTAATTTTGTGAACGGTGTTATATATGGTCTGGTGATAAAGGAAAATTGTTGATTTTCTCAGGATGTTATTTTCTAGGTTAAGGTGTAAAGCGCACTATATGCCTTTGAATTGAAATTAAAACCCATGTTTTCGAAGAGAGTGATATTATTTTGTATGCTGAACTCAAAGTACTAAAGAACAAGAAATTAAGCTATCCTAGTGAATACAATTATTATTCAATGTAATATCCCCTATTTGCCATTAATTTTTATTGGATAAAATTACACATTTTAAAAAAATATAGCTGACAAGACATAAGCAAAAACAATATTATTCAATGTAATATTACCAATATGTAATAAATTTTAACTGGACAAATTAGAGAAGAATTTCATCAGCTGTGTTATGTTATAAGAATGAAGTAATCTTTCGTCAATCAACAACTTAATATTGAAATCAGGGAATGAGGCTATCCAGGTGAGTAATGATGAATGTTCTGTTAGACATCAAAATATTGGAGGTAAACTATTTCAATATTAAGCTGTTGATTGAAGAAAAATTACTTCACTCTTTACTGGATAGAGGAATATATTTTCTTAAAGATATTTGCAAACAAGTTTTATAACTACCTATTTTCCTGCATATACTATCTCTCTCCTTCTCAAAAAGATTGAGAAAAATGACACACGCAAAATGTTTAATTTTACTCCTACGGCTATATCTACTAACGCAGTCCGATTAACATGAGGTGCATATATGAGATATGAAGAGCTGGCGAAAATGTAGAGGAAGCAAAATGGGGAAAATATTATACTATTTCCAAAACTTGTTTTAAACATTCAGACATCAAAAATGAATCACAAATAATTTGTCTTCAAATAACTAACATTGGTATCTTACGGCGTTGTACTAAATCGGTTGAAAATGATATATTCGTATACTTAGTATCTGGACCGCCTCGCATCCACTCCCTGGTCACTCAGAACTGATGAAGACGTGACATCTCTTTCTGGAGTGTTGGTTACATATGATTCATGGGGGAGGAGGCAGGATATTTTGGACACTCAAAATTGTTTACTCAATTATCATCATTATCTGATTGGTAAACCTTCATTGACAATTTACTGCAATAAAAATGCATAGGACGCATTTGTGTTAGATATATTTCAAAACACGCCATTGATAAAAGTAATCTCATACCCTAACACTCCCCACAATGAAACATTATTTACGTCACTGGTTACGATCAAATGCACATTTTTATCTGAACAGAGTTTAGTATATGTGACCGACCTGATCGTACTATGGCGCCATCTGCTGGAATCAGCAGACTAAAACTTTATAAACTTTAAAGCATGTGATCATATCTGAATGTGCGATGTTGTAGTCTTCATTTACCTTCACAATGACAGATAAACTTGCGAATATACAGTGTGTGTGTGTGTGTGTGTGTGTGTGTGTGTGCGTGGAACCTGGTCATGATAACGAAGGCGTTTATTAAATTATTTTGGTCAGTTGCACAAAAGAATGGTTGATTAGTTGGAGAAAATTACCACTTTTATCCCAGGAAAATCCTTGCAATAATTTAACACGTCAGCACAAACGCCGAAGATACGCTTTGCCTATATTTTGCCGAAGCATTTTATTCAAATTGATTTTTTTTTTTACTTTACATCATAAAACCAGTTATCATAACGCCCCGTCTGTACTATCATGCACAAGTTATAACAGTTTTATTCTACCTCTCCAATATCCTCCTGTCATTTTATGCTGTCAATATTGACATATACAAGATTTCAACATACAGACTTGACATTTAANGAGCAAGAATAGATCTATTTTAAAGGGATAATAACTCTTTGTTTTGGCCAAAAAAATGATTTTTCCAGGAGTAAACAACAATTTTTCCATACTTACCAATGGTTAACAGGCCTGTAGCCAGCAATGTCAGAGGGGGGGGGGTCCTTTTCTGAAAAAGTGAACCTTTTACCATAAAATCCTCAAGTACATAGGTCAAATTTTACCCAGAGTGGACCTTTTCCCAGCAAAAAGAGTGGTTCTTTTGAACCCCCCGGAACCCCCCTGGCTACAGGCCTAGTTAATGAATCCATTTTTACATTCAATTTTAGTCCCTGTTTTTTTTTTCTTTTTTTTTATAATCTCTTAAGAGATTATAACAGAGTATAGCCATCAATGGAGATCAGGTGGTCTAAAGACAAGCTCAAATATCAGAATAATAGCTATAACTGTCATTTTTGTGGTAAAACAGAATATATTATATTTCTATAAGTTGTTCATAATGTTTTAATTGTGAAATATAGATCTCATACAAAGAGTTATTATCCCTTTAATGTGTGTGCATGTGCAATTTTTTTTACTTTTTGTGACTGTATTTTTGCCAGCTTTTCTGTTTCAAACATAATTTATCCCTCTCAGCTTATGACCATGTTAAGTTTTATCTTTCAGATGAGTGCACCAATAGGCCAGGGAAACACTTTTCATTGAAAATAGCTGTAATATCAGTGATCCACCACACAATTAAGACAGAGATGGAAGCCCACCTACAAGGTACCCCAGATATGTACATGTACATTATGTATGGTTAAGTTCATGGTTTACTCACAGTGAATAGTACCAGTGTTAAATGAACTGTTTTGTCTAGTTGATAACAACTTAAAATATTGAAAGCTTTCTGACATGAAAGTTTGTACAGATGATCAGAAAACCAACAGAGTTTGTGAAGAGTGAAAAAAAAAACATTTACTTCTTTTACCTGTTGTTAAAGGGAACACTTTGATTGCTTTTAGAATTTTTAAAATCTTTGCTGATGTTGTTGAAATTTTGGTTGCTGTTTGGTGTCTCTGTTTTTGCCAGTTTTGATGTCGAGTTGTTTTTTCTGTCAAAATCTTGGCTCATTTCTTGTGGAAGTCGTGAGAAAGGACCAAACGTTGTTGTTGGTTGCTGAGGCTCTGGACGCCATCTTTGATGTGAACCATCTGGACCTGTTGTCATGGAGATCAGGGTAACAGACAAACAAATTAATTAATTTAATCAAATACTTATGTCAGGAGCAGTTGCCTTATCTGCATAGTGGACAATATGAAAAAGTGTCATGTTTTGCTCACTAAAATAATTCATGCAGTTGGGTATTTAATATATTATTTTACAGTGTAATGATATCTTTATTTAAAGACATTTTGATCAATTAAAGCGATGGATATCTTCAGAAGAAATTGTGACATTTTTCCAGATATATCAACTAAAGAGAAACCTAGGAGACTACCTTCTTATCAGCATGACAGCAAGGAAAAATCTGATGTACTTCATCAAATGCAAATCTTGACCAGTAGAACTAATAAGGACATGTTTTTATTCTCAAAGTTACTTACAACTCAACAGTAATTTGGATCACAGAAATAATTAGTGAACCACTTCAAGTTCCATAGTTTTCTGGTGTTCAGTTTGATATCAGGCAACACTGATATTTAGTATTAATATTTTTTATTATTTTTTCCACAACTTTTATGATAGTCCCATTAGAAGATTTGTGTGTTATCACAAGGTACTGATGTAAAACTTGTCTTTTTGTTCTTAGCCTTTTCTGTCAAAATTAAATATCAAAATGTGTGGGACTGTATTGTCTGTTTAAACTTTGACCCACTAACTGAGACAATCAAGTGATTAAATTTCTTTTCTGATTGCTCATAAGCAATATGATTTTTTTTTTGAAGAAGAAGAAATTATGGTTTTTGTGAGGCTTAAGTAGTTGAATTATTGTCTACTCCACATTGAATTGGTTTGATTTTATTAAACTTTGTATAACACTCTAGTATTCTATAAATTATACTGTTTTAAATGGATGGCAATGTTCATAAAATAAATTTCCTTTGTTTAATGTGAAGCTGAAGATATTACATTGTTGTTGGAAATATTGATTATTGGTTTAATTTAACTAGAATGTGTGCATTGCATGGTAGTATAATATTCCCTTATAGTTTTAAGCTGGTTTGAATATTAAAAAACATTTAAAAAATTGATTATTGACCCGGATCACCGCCAAAAACTAATCATCTGTACATGTTCCTTGGCCCACTTCTGACAGTTCCTGAAAATTTCATCAACATTGGTCCATAGTTTTTGAGTTATGTTGATGACAGACAAACAAACAAACAAACAGGGGTGAAAACATAACCTCCTTGACGGAGGCAACAAACTACAGTATGCTCATCTACTCAGGGGTACAGTGCTTGAGTAATGAATATCAGCATGCATGACAACTTTTTTGTGTTAATACGGATTACCTCATTTATTTGGAATAAAGATCTGTCTTAAAATGTATAGACGTGACAAGATGGCTTGATTTAGCATAATAAACTTATGGTACGATATGTGTAAAAAGTGGGTAAAAAGTGCATTCTGTCTTCCCTAACACAATCCCACGCAGTTGTCAGTCATTCCGCCATTCTACATGTGAAATCAGATTGCTAAACTTGGTCGCTTGATATCTAGTATAATGACCGTGTTTGTAGTAAACCCGGGTCACCTTCCTGGGATGGGGATCCATGATTGTATCTTATCATATAGATGTAGTGAAACTCAATCAGATTACGTACATCTTAGTGGATGAGCTAAACGAAATCGATCGTACGAGGAGAACATATTTACTTCGAATAGTCTCATAAAGAAAAAAAAAACGGACAAACTCTTCGTAGCATTAATTAATCTAAATTATGTTTTGGTGTTATTGACAGAGAGTTAATGTTCTATAATGATCATAGGTTTGATTGTAACATTCTACCTGAGGTGTGCAATCAGCTGAGCTAACCCCGACGAAAGCGACAAGACGGACACAGAAATATGGAAGTGATAATATAACTTGTTTTATCTGTTGATTAAAACAGGATGTTATTATACAGTTGATGAAATTCTATTAAACGTTTTACCGATAGACAAAATCAAACTTTGAAAGACTTTATTTGAAATAAAACAAAATCACGTACTGGCCAATTTAAGTTTTCATTATTTTGTGTAGACAAAGCATATTGCTGATACATTACTTTAAAAAACCGAAATGTTTCTTACCTAAGCATTGAAAAAAAAAAACAATTTGGAAATTAAAAGTAACAGCATTTATTTATTTATTTATTTATTTATTTATTTATTTATTTATTTAGTGTGTGTGGGAGAGAGAGAGGGAGAGAGTTCAGATGGGAGACGTACTCAGTAGGGTGTCCGAAGAAACCTCCTTCTTTGGCTATTATCGATGTTGACAGGTATGATAATCTGTAAAAATCCAAGAAAAACTAAAACTTTATATAATAATTGAAAATATTGATTGAGGCACAGAATATTCAGAATGAATGGTATTAAAAGTAAAACCTTGTTCACTTTTTCATGACAGCCAGATAAACTCCGCTGGGCAACGGTGTTATCACGTTATCCATATACACGTACATGTAATTGCCAGTTATTTAGAAAGGGCCGATTAGATTCAGTATTGCGATAAAATATTGTATTAATGAAGTATTGTTTAGCCCATAACATGTTGGGACACAGGTTTCTCGGTGTTTATTTATTTATCTATTTATTTGCTGGTGGCTCCGAACGGAACTAGGATTTATCCGTTCCATGTCAACAAACAGGATTATAGGTACGCCTATTGATCGATAAAAAATGTCAACATTCATCTTCTTTCCCTGGTGTTGAGTTTTGTGGAAGTAATATATCAAAGAAATATCAACTGCACAATGAAAGACGCATGCAAAATATTTGTGGAATAAATTGGTGTATTTTAACAAGAAGTGGACCTCAGTCTAATCTTCATGTACATGTCTTTGACCGTGTAGGCCTACATTCGTGAACAATTTCTGCCACAGTCCCTCACCTAAAATGGGGATGTCCCTAAAATGGGCCATACCTATCTGTAATTTGCATAACAATAAGTTGCTCATCGTAGTGTGAGCTGTCTTTCCGAAGACTCACTAGGCAGTAGGACACATCAGGGTGAAGACGCAACAGCAATGTGTGGTACAGTTGCAAGGCCGAGCTTTTATGAGACGAAGACACAAATTCATGTTTCGTAAGTATCACATTTTCTTCAGTAACTTTAGTCAGTGGATATAAAAAGCGTAAAAGAATGCAAGGAAAATTACGACAAGTATTTATGTTGCGATTCTTTGTTATGTTTTGCCTGTCGTTTCTTTTATGTCACTCAGAATATTAGCTAGCATATTAGTAGATGGGAATATTACCACAGATATCACGGACTAATTTAGATGGTAATACTGTACTTGTCAAAGTTCTGAGTTTTTAGTCCAAAGACAAGTGTGCCCTATCAACGTGTACATCAATTTTATGATCAAAATATGGCGCACAAACGTGTGTTGCATAGCGATTTTAGATATTTTAACATTGATAAGTAGGTAAAATAAATTAACGTCTCTAGTAATAACTTCCACGCATTAAAGAATTGTTTTCAATATTTATTTTTCCAAAGCAAGATATCTCAAATATCTTTATCAATAACTTCAGATCTTAATTTTGGCGTAAGGTAACCTTGATGTAGAGGGTGATTTTGAGGGGCGCTATCTGAGTCTGAACATAGGACAAGTCACTAAACACATCATTTCAAGTGCCCTTTTCTCTTTGATGTAAAATGCATTTGTTGTATTTTCCGAGTCAAATATTGTTTACATTACTTTCTCATTTCAGAAGTCCGCTGAGATACTGAGTACTGCACGACGACCGCCTGCTAGCAACCAAGCTTTTCATTCACTTTCTGGTACCAAACGCACAATCCTTCATCTATTGTATTTTAATAAAAGCTGAATAGATACGTTTGTATTTACTTGTTTTTTTTTTTTAAACTTTGCTATGAAATAATGTCTATAAGATTGTGGTAATAATAAAGGGTAAAATTATAAAGATATGATAACGTTTGACCACTTTCATGTTTAATCTGCTACAACTGATTTGTAAATATTGTTTGGGATTGTCGATTTTTGCAGTAACAGAAGATATCTAAAACCAAAAGGTTTGTAAATATTCCTGATATTTTGTAAATTATTGAGTTTGAGCATTTTAACAATACACGTTCAAGATTTTTCAACAGCACACATTTATAGATATAATCTGTATGAATTTACGATTTTGCTTTTTGAAAAGCTATTCTGTATTTTATTCAGTAATTGGACATTTTTGTATATCTCTTGGAATAAATTAGTTCTTTCTCCCGGATATCATTTTCGGAGTTTAAAAATGGGTCCATTGAAGGGTTCTGATTTTTGCTACAGAAAATCGATTCAAATTTCACGATATTGATGAATACTTCAATTTAAATTTTAAATGAAAAAAATGAGAAAGTTGAGAGACACACATCAAATGGTAACAGTTGGAATTTGCTTCTCCGAAAAAATTTAGTCTGTATATTTCAATCTATTTGAAAAGGTCTTATTAAAATGCTTGAAATATATTGATCCCTTCATTAAATTTTGTGACCATACAGTCCCAAATGTGCAGACAAAAAGGTTATATTTATATTAAATTGTAGTAAAGCAAATTTTGAGACCAAAAATTTAATGATTATTTCTGTATGATACAGGTTAATATGCCCTCAAAACTTTGCTAACACACATTTTTCAAAAATTGTGATCTTTCAAAAAGCTAATTCCACCGACATTATAATGTTATTTTTGTGATGATTTTACTTGCATGCGCTCCTCAAATCGAATGTACCGTACTTGGATTAAGAATGTGTACATTTATCCCGTGGACCATTTGAAGATTACACTGCGATTAATGCGGTGGAAAATACAATAGAGAGAGTGTATAATGATAGGGTCGCTAAACGATTGTTGACGGCATATAGTAACTAGCCTAATCCCCTGGTCGCCTGGGTATCCACGCCCCCTTAGAGTACTTATGTAAACAAACGGTCTCCCGTAGCGAACTATCCTTTTGTTCAACAGCTTCGCGCGTGCAGCTGATTATGTATGTAGTGACACTATAGCTA